CCAGAGGCAGCGGGCCTCGCCCGGCTCGAGCGAGCCCCCCCGGCCCCTCAGCGGGCCAGCGGCCGTGGAGCCAAATCCCCTCGTCACCAGAACGACAGGGCGGGTGACCGCCTCGCCCCTGCCGGCAGCCCCACCCCGCCGCGTTCAGCGGCTGCTTTCCCGCCTTCCCAACGGTGGGGCTGTAGCTCACACAGCGCCTAGGCACCGCGGACTGATAGTGCCGCGAGGAGGGGTAAAGGCGGAGTTTGTCTCTGTAGCTGCCTTTACGTACTTTACAAACCGCCCCTGGCTTGTTTGGCACGTTCACCAAAGCTGCCCTGGCTCGGCGCAATAGCGATACCCAGTGAAGCTATGACACTTTCTGGCTCCCTAGCATGACTCATTGGTTGCAGGTGACTGGCTGAGGGTTTACAATACAACTTAAAAAAACAAACAAACAAACCGCCAATAAATATTTTGTGTAAGCAAAACTTCTGACAAGCATATACATTTTCCTCATACATTCAACAAAATTAAAAAAGATGAGAAGGCATCTCAAGTCCTCTAGCTTAAAATGTAAAATTGTGCGGGTTTGAAGGCTGGAGATTGACTCAAGCAGGGAAAAAAACCCTTACAGCCAGTTTTGCCTTTTTCTTCAGATAAAAGGAATGGTCTGAACCACCAAATGGTAAAATTTAAAATGACCAACAGCAATATTTTGAACAAGATTATATGCTAATTTTAATCTTGGAAAATATTTTGCAGTCTTGGTATATACGGGAGGCTGGGTGGGATAGGATTTTCCATTCTCCTTCTCCTGTCATGAAAATTTCCATGATATATGAATTAATTTAAATTTTAAAAGATCACAGCATTAAAGTCGCAAAGTGATTAATGTGTATCAACTAGGGAGAACAAATCTGAAAAGACATTCAGGTGGGATTTTCAAAAAGCATCCGGGATGAATTTTGTTCATTCAGTAAAATCTCAGCATCACTGAAATCAATGAGTGTTTGTCCTGTGGAAGTAATTGACAATGATTTCACTCTTTTATTTTTATGTGTGGAGAATAACTGATTAAGGGGAGGATGTAGCAGGATCTTTCTTAAGGGGTGGACATAGCCATCTGTATGTGCATGTTGAGGAGAAACCACATCAAAGTCTTCTATTTTCATTTACAGTACAAAATTTCCATGATATTTTTCTCTTCTCTATCAGTTAGGAGCAAATGCTTCCCTTTGATGAACCCCTTCTGGCATGAGAACATAAACATGACTGCTTCACACAAACAACTCTTAAGTGAGTAACTTTTATATTATTTGCATATCACCAGTCAACTATTATAGGGGATGAAAGCAAGAAAGTGTGTCTGGCATAGATTGTAAGCGCTTTGGGGCAGGGTTTCCACAGCATTAGCACAGTGGGGCCCTCATCCCTGAGCAAGGCTGTAAGGGGCTGTCACACAGAAATAATATTAATAGCTCAACTGACATCAATAAGTGTGTTCCTAATGGACTTCAACAGAAGCAGGATGGAACTCAGAGGACTGTACATCAATATATGACCTACAAATATCTTCACTAGTGACAATAGGACATACATAATTTAGAGCTTGATAGTGTAAGGTGCAGAGCACCTCATAATTCCCTCCAAAAGCAAATAGTTGACTGTTGCTCAGGATGAAAGATCTACTGATATTTTATGATTAGCAACTATGTCTGACCCTGGATAAATCAATACTCTGTGCCTCAGTTTTCTGATTATTTAATCCCTCTTGTTAAGTGCTTTGAGAACTGCAGATTGAAATAAAACAATTCCATATAGTTACAGAGTTATAAAGAGGATTATGCAAAGAAGAACTAACTCTCGTGTTTTTGTACCTAGCATTGGCTTTCCAATCAACCCCAAGAGCTATCACATTGTAGGAGAAGGCTGATTGGATCAGCATTTCTCTCCTGTTGCTGCTGCTCCTCCACACTGAAACCTCTCCAGTCTTTCCCTGGGGACTGGAAAACAATAAATAGCAGCAAGGCTCCCAGATGAACCATTCTACTACCAAAGAGGGATGAGAAGTAGTGCAAAGTCACTGAACATGCACAAAAGCTTTATTTGGCCTGACATCTGTAGGATTTCCTAGTAAATCTTGTGCACTCTGCGGCTACGTCAACTACTTTTGCGCAAAATCTTGCCACCTGTCTACGCTGGCCGTCAGTACTTGCGTAAGAACACTGATGTTCTAATGTATAAAATCAGTGCTTCTTGCGCAAATATTCTGACACTCCTGCTCAAGGATAAGTCCTCTTGCGCAACTGTTCTTGAGCAAGAGGCCAGTGTAGACAGGCAACATTAATTTCTTGTGCAAGAAAGCCCGATGTTTAAAATGGCCATCGGAGCTTTCTTGCGCAAGAGAGCATCTACACTGGCACGGATGCTCTTGCACAAAAGCACATCTTTTGCACAAAGGCACATGCCAGTGTAGACCCTCTCTTACTTAAATACTGTAACGCAAAAACTTTTGCGTTAAAGAGTATTTGCGCAAAATCTTGCCAATATAGACGTAGCCTGCAGGTTTAGGAAGCCACACAGCCTGTCCATTCTCCTTATGGGACTAATCCTGCAAAGTGTCCCACCAACTTTAATTCCCACCAACTTTAATTGCATCTTGCAGGATTAGGCCCTGGGTAGACAGAGATGTTGCAAAGTCCCTCTTCTTTCCAATCCACTATGAGGGGAAGGCAGTTCCAGAAAATGAGTTTTTTGGGCTGTTTCTTAGTGTTCTCGGCACTGTTCCCTCCAACTTTTTATGCAATTTTGAACACAGAGTGTGGTAGGGGTGACACTGATGGATTGGGCTGCAAGAGGGAGCTCAGGGCTATGGCAGAGGGCTGGGGTTCAGAATGAGGGCTCTGGCTGTTGGTGAGGGCCTTGGGTTGGAGCTGGGATTAAGGGGTTCAGGGCGCAGGCTCCGCAATTTGCATACCTTTTTGATAGTTTTTTCAGAAGAGGTTTTTGTGAATGCTCACACACAATCCTATATACACCATCTCAAACAGTCATACACCTACCCCGAGCCATATACACACCCGTTCATTCACACTCACCTACACAGTTGCATACACACCACCTCATTCACACACACACACTAAGGCAACTGAAGGGGTTTTCCGGGATACCAGAGGTATCCAGAGGTATCCCAGAAAAAACCCATAGTCTAAATGTAGCCTCACTGTGACAGCTGGGGCCAGGTGAGTAGTGCCTTTTAGTAGCTTCTGCAGATCCAGCAGGCACAGCTGTGGGAGGTGTGTCTGTCCCCCAGTTTGGGCAGGTCCAGGTGAGGTTGCATTGGTGCTGTGTTTCCCAGCAGTGGCAGCTTTGGGACAGCTCCAGGGAGCGTGCAACGGTCGGGGGAGAAGCACACTGCACCAGCCCCTCTACAGGGTTTGTTAGGCAGTGGCCACTCAGTTTGGAGGGAACTTAGGGCTGAGAGGGCAGGATATGGGCCTGATGGTGTTAGTTGCAGACAGCATTATTGTCTTCATTACCTTACAGAAATGCCTACCACCAGATATTGATTGTTACCATTAGAAATAAACATCATGGTACTTAAGACAAGTGGATATTACCTATATGTATGACAGGCAAGAATGATCTGGTGATTGGTAAACAAGAGGAGTTGTGGTGAATGCAACAGTAATTGCCTTTGTTTAAATGTCAGAGATTTTTCAGCCTCTGAGCTACTGCTGTTTGATTTAAACTGTACCTTAAAGTGCAGTTTTCTTCTCAAGTCTTTAGTAATTTTGTTAAACAGCAGATTCAGGCAGGATGTCTATTTCTTATGGGATTTTAAACAAACAAACAAACAAACAAACGGATATTTTTAACTGGATTAGTTTCCTATATTTTGGCTTTCTAGTTTGCACTATGTTCCTCTTATGATTTGGTATTGGGTTTAGTGAGTCTCCTTTAAAAGGTATAATCTGTCAGCAGAAGATGGCTGTCCTAATGTGTTTCCTGTGTCTGCTTTGGGAAGTGATCAGAGAGAGAGCGGAGTTTGGCATTGTGGACCCAATCAAGCTCTCGCTAAATATAAGCAGAGGAGTCCCCACAGCTTAAAAGGTGAGCTGAGTTAGGTCTCTGTGGGTATGTCTACACGGCACCCTAAACTCAGAATAAGATATGCAATTTGTGCTATGCAAATTCCATATCTTATTTCAAATCTATTTTGAAATAGCTTATTTTGAAATTTGGCGCATCTACACAGCACCAAATTTTGAAATAATGTACTATTTCGAGATACCCCTTAACCCCTGTGGAACAAGAGTTACTGGGATGCCGAAATAGCACGCCCGCTATTTCAAAAAATATTTTGAAATAATGGGCAGCTTGTGTAGACATGGGGTAGCTATTTCGGGATACCTCTGGTATAAACATCATGGTATCCTGAAATAGCCGTGCAGTGTAGACATACCCTGAAAGTAGAGCCTATGGATTTCAAGGTGAGCTGAATTAGGTCCTCTGTCATTTGTGAGCAGGAGAGACATTACTCTAAGGCTGTGTCTACACTGGCCACTTATTCCGGAAAATCAGCTGCTTTTCCGGAATAACTTGCCAGCTGTCTACACTGGCCCCTTGAATTTCTGGAAAAGCACTGACGATCTACTGTAAGAAATCAGCCGCTTTTCCAGAAATACTATGCTGCTCCCGTTCGGGCAAAAGTCCTTTTTCCGGAAAACTGTTCCGGAAAAGGGCCAGTGTAGACAGCACAGTAGTGATTTCTGCAAAAAAGCCCCAATCGCAAAAATGACGATCGGGGCCTTTTTGCGGAAAAGCGTGTCTAGATTGGCCACGGACACTTTTCCGGAAAAGTGCTTTTCCAGAAAAGCATCCTGCCAATGTAGACGTGCTTTTTCTGGAAATACTTATAATGGAAAACTGTTCCGTTTTAAGCATTTCCGGAAAAGGGTGCCAGTGTAGACGTAGCCTAAGTGAATGTAACATCAAGGGTTAGGCTAAGCAGTGACTAAAATAAATGTAGGGAAGAAAAGTAAATGCAGTCTGGGCATATCAGTCTGGGTCTGGCATACCCAGCTGGATTCTTGTTTTCAAATGGGTTGATTCACAGGTGAAAAACAAGTCTGCCCCTGAAAAAAAACCCTATTTTAAAGGGAAAAACTTAAGTTTTGGAATTTCTCTCAGGACCATGAAAAAACGTTGGAACTACATTTTCATTTACCAGCCCTCCTAGTTTTTGCTACTTAAAAAGTGTCAGTAATAATTCGAGATGCATCTATTTTAACCTCACAAAATGGACACAATTTCCAAACTTTCAACCGGCTTTAATGAGAATTGATCCCTACTCTGAGCCCAGATAAAGATCACAATCAACTTTATCTGAGGGGGAATTCACCAGCAGATACATCTGCTGCACACCTACTTATTAGCATTTTCTGACAAAAAGTCAAAAGTCTGTTATAAGTTTGAGTTTCACTTTTCTAGTAGGAAGGAAACCTGACTCTGGGCAAACGGTCTCACTACTAAGAGATGTACAGTGCTCTGCCTGAATTATACCACTGTGCACCGATTAGATAGCTCCGCCTGCTTTGTCCTGTATAGCTCTTTGAACTTAACATTAGGACCAGATCGTACAAACACAAACCCTAAATGATTTTTGAACTAGCATCAAGCTGAGACAGGGCTCATGGGTTTCTATATATATGTACAGCACCAACCAATGGGATCCTGATGCTGACTAAGGCTTATGGGTACTACTGCTATATAACATTTTAATAAAAATGACTTCAGTGTTGTATGAATGGTATACAGTTTGCAGGTCCCTGAAAACGGATTGGGATTCTCTTCTCAAATCATGGGCATTTGCTTGTACAAGATCTTTTAGTTAGTAGCTTTTTTGCTATATTTTCCAAAGCTAAACTGAGAATGACTTTTCACCTTTAATAGCTAACAGGTTTAAAACAAACAAAAGGAAGTTTTTCTTCACACATTGCATGGTTGACCTGTGGAACTCCTTGCCAGAGGAGGTTGTGAAGACCAGGACTTTAACAAGGTTCAAGAAAGAACTAAATACATTCATGGATGTTAGGTACATCAATGTCTGTGAGCCAGGATGGGTAGGAATGGTGTCCCTAACCTCTGTCAGAGGCTGGGAATGGGTGACAGGAGAGGGATTGCTTGAAGATTCCCTGTTCTGTTCACTCCCTCTGGGGCATCTGGCATTTGCCACTGTTGGAAGACAGGTTACTGGGCTAGATGGACCTTTGGTCTGATCCAATACGGCCATT